GTGGAGATATTGGAAAAAAAAAATTTTTTTACTTCCCCTTTGACCAAACAGCTAAAAAAAAAACAGGGAATCATTTCGAGATACGCTCACAATGAAAAATGAATGAAAAATGATAGTAAATTAATGAAAATCTATCCGTAAGTTGTTTTGTATGCACACACACACACACACACACACACACAGGTAAAAACCATACCCAGGGAAAAAAGCTTTTGTAAACCTACTGACTGGCAAAAAAAGCTATTTCAGACGGCCAACACAAGTTTATTGTTGTACTGGTTGTACTGGCCTTCTTCCTGACTTTGTTTATGGGAGAAACAGACCCAACCGAAGTTTGTTGCCCTTTTATTCTAAAATAAAAAAGCAGGGTAAAGACTTGTGACAGGGTCATGCTCAGTAGCACTTTAGTAGATAAAAGGTTTGAACCCCTGTAGTTGAAGGGCTCTTTTACCATCCCAGTTTAACAACTCGTTGATGTGGACGTGAGCTGTAGCTGCAAGATTGAAGGCTAAAAAAATCTGTCTTTTTATGTTAGTCCTTCTTCATGTCTTCACTGTTCTTTGTAAATAATTCTATCTCATAGCTTTGTCATGATGATCTTACAGTTCTTGGCTGATGAGCAAGAATGAAGGCTTTACATCGAGGGTTGTCTCCACTGTTACCTGCTCTTAATGGATTCTACTCTGTTGGAAATGAGATATCTGCGAGAGGCAGCCCTCTCCTCCCTGGAGTCTAATGCATTTGGAGAGTCCACAGTTCGAGTGCAACGCTATCAGACAGCGAGGAGGAATGGCCTCGTGGGGAGATATATCGATGTAGACGTTTTCTTAGCCCATTACCAGGGAGCCCAAACAAACCTGTGGGGTGGATTCTGCGGCAGGCAGCAGACGTGAGCTACATGAAAAGAGCTGAGTTTTTCCAGAACCAATGTCTATAAATCAATCTTCAGTTAGGGAGCCACAACAAATAGAGTAAGGGGTTTATAAAAACAGCATTCCGTCAGATTTAATTGTCTCCTCTTTATACAAGCCACCATGGGACATGTTCCTATGATAACCTGGTAAGTGTGAAGCATGATCAAAGCGTTGAACACTGAGACAAAGTCTGGATGTCACACAAGATGTCACACAAGCTTCTTTAAATTGGATTCGTAGGAGTTTCGAACTTTTCATTGTCAGTATCTAGTAGATGGAGGACATGATTCAGGTTGGAAATCAACATGGTCTATGTAATTATAATACTTTATTTATGTACCATGCAACTAGAAAGAACAAATGTTTGATGAATACAATAGAAGTAATAATTGTGATGACTACATTAGTTTTTGTGTTCGTGTAATTCTTTTTCAACCTTATATGTAGTTTGAAAATGTTATTTTACAGTGAAAAATTTGATATCATATATCATATTGTTCTAGACAGAAAAATATGCATCACGTTTATATTGAAATATCTTAAATACCTAAGCTTTATTTGTCATACTCCTTTTAATAGGCTTCCAGGAATTTTGAATAGTGAAACATTGCATGTAGCCTATTAATAAACATTATCAGCTGTAATCTCAAAAACTATTGCTCTTGTGCTATATGAGTTTTTTAAAACAAAAGTTTAACTTCATTGAAGTGCACTTATTTGCTAAGTGGGAAATTCTAGCTTAGTTTTGTCCAACAGTAATGAAATCTGCCCACCAACATCTTAAAGTCACTAATTAAAAACTATAATTTATTTATGAATCCATATAACATCTGTAAAAGTGGTTTCACATGTTGGCTTAAATGTATGAGAATGCAATATCTTGTGGGGCTGATATGTTCAGAGGGTGGCAGTGGCACTGAAGTGTGACGGTTTGTGAATTCTCCAAAGTGGAAGGTTTTATCTTTTTCATAAATGTGTTTTCTAAATGTCAAGAAAATATTTGATGGTGTAATATTTTAAAGGTTATTTTTTTGGCCCAATAAAGCCCCAAATTGAACGAGCCAAGGTTATCAGAAACTTTCATCATCTGTGGAGCGTGAAGCTCCAGAGCACATTTCACACACACATGTCGCCTGTAAATGTCAAGTATGAGCAGAGGGACTTCATGTCATCTACAAAGTCAAGCATGTTGTGTAAGAGGACCAGCTTTGTTGCTCCAGTATCTGAGAATAACATTATTCAGTGCTACATCATTTTGTGAGGGATCTTTTTGCTCTTTTATATCACTGTGGTTATGTTTGGAGTCTGCCATGCAAAACCGGTGTTAATGGTATAATCCCTCATTGACTTTGCTGACTAATGGCTTTCATGTAACCCAGAGATGGATGTGAGTTCAGTAAACAAACTCTGCGGCAGGACAATAAAACCGTCAGATTCCGAACAGAAAGTCGCATGAAACAATCAAGTGTTTCGCTTCAAACTTGGGACAAAGTGCCACAGATCTTTTCATTGCCTTTACGATGAAGCTGTAGCTTGCAATGACACCACCAAATGAGACCCCGCTGAGCAGTCTCCCCAAGGCTGAGCTCGACTGACACATCAGAGCACAGTCGCCTGAGGTACAACTTACTGCCCTTTAGCTCATCTGTGATACTCTCTCTCTCTCACACACACATGCACACACACACACACACACTTTAAATATTGTGTGAAAGCATTATCTAGTTGGAAACAGAAAAAAAAAAAGCCAAAAGAAATTTAAAAAAAGTTAAGACTTTAGTCTGTTCAGAATTTAACCCTCAAGATCTTAGATGGAAAGATTGATGCCACTCTCATATCTACATGCAAAATATCAGGCTACAGACAGCAGCCTGTTAGCTTAGCATAGGAAATTGGAGGTTTAATATGTAGGAAATT